TTTTATACTCCCTCCGCCTCCATTCCAGGTAGTCACACCCTTCAATAAGTTCCAGTATTTTGCCATTTCTGTTCAAAGGGGGGTTCTGTGATTTGTGAAAGATATGGCTATATGTGGCTATACTGTCCTAAACCTCTACAGGAAAACTTCTAAGGGGGGGTGTTGAGGTGATGCAACAGATGGTAAACTCCTCGAGCGCCTAGTCTACACCTGCCTAAGCTCTCACCTCAACGACAACAACTTCCTCGATCCCCTACAGTCCGACTTCCGTCCCCTACACTCCACTGGAACTGTCCTACTCAAACTCACCAACGACCTGCTAACCGCTAAAGCTAATGGCCACTATTCAGTGCTCCTACTCCTTGACCTCTCCACAGCCTTCAACACAGTCGACCACCCCCTCCTCCTCAAAAAACTACACTCCCTCGGCCTCAGAGATTCTGATCTCTCCTGGCTCTCATCCTACCTGTCACAACGCTCTTTCAGCGTTACCTATAATGCTACCACCTCCCCCTCACTCCCCCTCACTTGGGGGTCCGTCAAGGCTCCGTCCTCGGGCCCCTTCTCTTTTCCATCTACACCTCCTCCCTTGGCCAACTCATACACTCACGGCTTCAACTACCACCTATATGCCGACGACACACAAATCTATCTCTCAACCCCCCACCTCACCCCCTCAGTCTCCGCCCGAATCACACACCTAATGAGCGACATATCAGACTGGATGTCGCTCCACTTCCTTAAACTGAACCTCTCCAAAACCGAGTTTCTTGTCTTCCCCCCAGCCTGCACACCCCCCCCCCCCATTGACTTCTCCATCATGTCCAACAACGCCACCATCAACCCCGCCCCGCAGGCAAGAGTACTTGGTGTCATTCTGGACTCCAACCTATCCTTCCAGCCCCAAGTCCAATCTTTAACAAACTCATGCAGACTCCACCTCCGCAAGATCGCCAAAATCCGCACGTTCCTAACCCCAGAAAACACTAAACAGCTCATCCACTCCCTCATCATATCACGACTCGATTACTGCAACTTCCTCCTCACTGGCCTGCCTCGCCGTTGGCTATCCCCGCTTCAGTCGATCCTGGATACGGCTGCCAGACTCATTCACCTTTCCAACAGCTCCGTTTACGTCACCCCCCCTCTGCCAATCCCTCCACTGGCTTCCGATTGCGCAACGGATCAAATTCAAAATCCTAACACTGACGTACAAAGCTGTCCACCATACTGCCCCGAACTACATCACCGACCTAATATCCAAGTACCACCCAACACGCACACTCCGCTCCTCACAAGACCTCCTACTCTCTAGTTCCCTGGTCTCCTCTTCCCATGCCCGCCTCCAGGACTTCTCCAGGGTGTCACCCATCCTCTGGAACTCCCTGCCCCAACCCATCAGATTATCACCTACTCTCCTCTCCTTTAGGCGCACCCTGAAAACCCACCTCTTCAGGGAAGCCTACCCCACCCCCTGCTAACTTGCTGACCTCCTCCACTCTTCCTACCACTCCATCCCCCACAGCTTTCTCCTCCTGTGCCACCATCCCCTCCCTCCTAGATTGTAAGCTCGAAAGAGCAGGGCCCTCGATCCCCTCATGTTTTGCATTGTATTGTATTGTTATTGTTCTGTCCCCCCATTGTAATGTACAGCGCTGAGCGAACTATTGGCGCTTTATAAATACTGTATAATAATAATAATAATAAATAAGTTGCAGGAATTGAGACCCCTATCAGAGGTTCACAATAATATTAAAAATTATTGTAGACCCAAAATATCTATCACAAGGCTAAAAGCATTCACTTTTCACATGATCATCTTCACGAAGATACAGCTGGCTACACGAAAGCTGTACAATGTGCTCTCTTTATTTGTTACAAAAAATATGCTACAGGATCTACTGATGCTGATGTGTTCCGGCGAAATCCTTCCTCAAAGCAATGTTAGAGGTGATTTATTCTTCCAAAGTAAATACACCTTTGTACACTGGTACTGACTAGTATTCCATTGTTTCTCTTCTCCCTCAGTTTTTTTTCTCCCACTCAGCTAACGTGACTCCAGTTCTGATAGAGAGGGGCTAGCAAGAATGCTGTGCATTGGCCCAATGTCCTTATCAACTGATGACATTATTGGTTATGAATCTGGCAGCTAAAAGGTCGTAATGGTGCACAATGAAAACCTGTGATTTTGTACAATTAAAAGGCAGGCTTGATCCACCTGCTGGCTTTTATACAGTTTTGGGCAATTTTTTAGGCATTTGGTAAGACACCCCTGAAGAGACCTGAAGGCACCCTGGTTGAAAAAGGCTGCTATAGAAGGATATGCTTTGTTCATACTTCATGTTTAAGATTTACAACCACTTATAATAAAGCTGACCTGTAGGTAAAATTAATATCTCCTAAACGTGCACCGTCTAGGAGATATTCTAGCGAACAGCAGCCGGTGACATCACCGGTGCATGCGCTCTGAAGGAACGGCATATCCATGCCATACCTTCAGAGCTGTGTGCTGCGGCCAAGAGTCCTTCGTGCATGTGCGGGAGTGACGCCATCGCTGCTTAGCCAATCAAGCGACCGCAGCCCACGAACCCAAAAGGAAGACCAGGTGAAGATGGAAGCTTCTGTAGTGGTGACTGCGTACCACCACTGGAGGATTTCTTTTTAAGGTAATTCCTTTATAATGTGCTAGTGTGCAATTAGAGTTTACTAGAGTGTTAGTATGCAATTAGAGTTTACTATCGCTTTAGGTAAACTCCACCGAAGGTACAGTAACACACCACAGTACTTGAGAAGCCTCCAGGACCACACACTACACATAATGTTAACAATTCACACAAGGTTCACAAAAACCCAAACCTGTCTGGCAGAGATGGTACTACCCATTTGTTCCAACATATTTCCTTGGGTCATAACAGCCCATGCAAACCTATCAACTATTATAAGAGGGCAATCCTTGAGGAGGTTCCCTTCATCTGTACTAAGGCTTTTTTTACTATGGGACAATATACTTTGGAAATGAGCTGAAATAGTGACGTTGTACTGGCTGTACTTTGGCAAAACCTGTAAGGGATGAAATATATTGGCAAGCTCTAACTTGCACACTTGGTGATGGGGTGTCTGTGATACAAAACAAAAGTTAAAACCTTATCCTGCATTCCTATAGGAAATGGAGTGAGAGAGACCTCACCATTCTAATATAAGGCAGGATCCCCAGTAGGGGTCAAATTTGTTAAGCTGTAATATACCACCACAGGTTTTAGCTATGTTTAGAGACATTAAAGGTTTACCATACTCATATCATTTCTGTGCTTCTTATGGGAGTCGATGGAGACTAGAAAAGACATTTCACAATGACCCAGAATGAGTATTTCGATAAAATTTATCAGGAAAAATGAAAGATCTCAACATGTCTTTTTACTGGAAACAACTATGATTCAGTCATTGGGAAATGTAAATGATTGTAATAACAAAACTGTTAGATGTACTTTAACTATAAATATTAGAAGTTGTTGAATTTGTCAGTATATGTTTTCTTTGTAATTATAGGTCTAAAGTCACAGTGCTGATATTCAATATTAATAAAGACCATCTTTTACCAAAGCAAAACACTGTATTCATTTTGTAACATAGTTATTCTTACAGTGAAAATGTCCCTATACTGTTTTTGTGTGTGTTGCGTGGCTGCACGTTTTTACTATTTCTAGTTCTTCATTACAACAGCAGTGTGGCTGATCCATTATCTTCCTGCATATAACAAAGCTGCATGTCCCATGTCTTCTTGTGGTTTATTCCATACAAACGGGCGTATCTGCCTCACCTTTATAGAGATAGTCTAAAGATGCAGTATATTGTACATTGACACATACACATGTAGTCTATGCTTTCATCTTTTGAATGGGTAGCTAGGCAGAGAGGTGGCAATGTGGCCACCGATACAAAGGAAATCAATACTGATGCTATTATCTGCAATGATGAAATGGTATTTATGGGTACTGTAACAGGGTTTGCTTGGCAGCAGGTGTGTGTGACCCCCTGGGTGAGTTCACAACACAAAAAAATTTACAAGAAAAACATCAAACCAAAAAGAAACATGAAATTAAATCCTTGCTAACTTGGCCACTTACTATACAATAGCTTCCCTAGCTATCCACTAGGTACAGCCTTATGCTACATCCAGTCCCTATCAGTTGGAGGCTAACCACACAAGCCTTTGTCTCGCCGCACAGACAAGTATGGTGCTCCCCAGTCTACTCAGGCACAGATCTGGTTCCAGGATGGAGCAACTCCCTAAGCAGGCTGGGAAGTTTTATAGAGGCCCTAATGAGCCCACTACAGGTGAAACTCAAAAAATTAGAATATCGTTGAAAAGTTCATTTATTTCAGTAATGCAACTTAAAAGGTGAAACTAATACCGTATTTTTCGCTCCATAAGACGCACTTTTTTCCCCCCAAAAAAGGGGGGAAAATGTCAGTGTGTCTTATGGAGCGAATGTAAAGTGGCCGGTCCGGTATTTCCGCCGCCACCATGTCAGAATATCGGGCCGGCCGCTTAGCTCTTCTCTCCTGCAGGACCTTACCAGTTCCTCGCTCCAGCGCTACAGTCATCCCGCGGTGGCTTCTGTGACAGCCGGGTGCCCCCTGCGCATGCGTGAGAAGCGCCGCGCTTTGTGAATGGTCCGGTGTCTTCTGGGACACATGACATGCGCATGCGCAGTGGGCACCCGGCTGTCACAGAAGCTGCCGCGGGAAGAAGAAGAAAGGACAACTCCGCGGAAGTGGGAGCGGGTACCTGTCAAATTCAGGTACCTGCTCCCCCCCCCCCCCCCAAAGGTACGCAGTCTCTGGTAATCTCCTTTACTGTGTGCAGTCTCTGGTTATCCCCTGCACTGTCTGCAGTCTCTGGTCATCTCCTGTACTATGTCCATAGTCTCTAGTCATCTCCTGTACTGTGTCCGCAGTCTCTGGTCATTCTCTGTACTGTGTCCGCAGTCTCTGGCCATCTCCTGTACTGTGTCCGCAGTCTCTGGCCATCTCCTGTACTGTGTCCGCAGTCTCTGGTCATTCCCTGTACTGTGTCCGCAGTCTCTGGTCATCTCCTGTACAGTGTCCGCAGTCTCTGGCCATCTCCTGTACTGTGTCCGCAGTCTCTGGTCATTCCCTGTACTATGTCCACAGTCTCTGGTCATCTCCTGTCCTATGTCCGCAGTCTCTGGTCATACCCTGTACTGTGTCCGCAGTCTCTGGTCATCCCCTGTACTGTGTCTGCAGTCCATTGGTTCAGAATATTTTTTTTCTTGTTTTTCTCCTCTAAAACCTAGGTGAGTCTTATGGAGCGAAAAAAAATACGGTATATGAGATAGACTCATTACATGCAAAGCAAGTGATTTGTCATAATTGTGATGATTATGGCTTACAGCTCATGAAAACCCCAGATCCACAATCTCAGAAAATTAGAATATTACATGCAATCAATAAAACAAGGATTGTACATAGAACAATATCGGACCTCTGAAAAGTATAAGCATTTTTGCCTTCAACTGGGCTCATTATCTCTCTGCTGAAGGCTCAGCAGTTCCCCCTAGTGGAACAAATCCACATAGAGCCTAAATCTCGGACAGATATATATGCCGTCCTGGATGCAACCAGGTGATTTTACCTGCCTACTGTCACAGTACTAAATGGACACAACATTTTTTAACTGAATCAGAGAATAGAAACACTTTTTTTGTATAATTAGTTATTTTCAGATCACAGAAAAAAAGAATTGGAGGAGGCTGAAGCAACAGAACTATATTTTTCAGCAATGCATACTTGAATAGAGTATATTTTTTAAACTAGAGTCAGAGAAAGTGTCACTTTAATCTCTTTGGCTGGATTCTGCCCATGTGTAAAGTACTCACATTAGCAGCCTCTCGAAATAAGACCCACTTCAGTGAGGCAGCATACGTGCATACACTTGGTGGAAGGGGTTAACTACCAAAATGTTATACTATCCAATCTCCTAATAATTGCATTTTCTTGTTTTTAAAATCCACTTAAAAAATAATAGGGGAAAAAATGCACTTAGGGGATTAACCAGTCATTTTCTGTGCACCAATTCTTTGCACTCTGCATAAGCGGGGGTGTGGAAAGGATGTGTCCTTTATCTGCATACATTGCATTAAATGTGTCCCTCGTTGTTAGATCAGAATGTTAGGAGGTGTGGTCATGCCGCCATCATCAGGACCTCTATCCCTGGAATTCATAAAGAGGGTCATAAATGCTCATTAAATGTTTGTCTTCAGTCCAAGCAACAAATGGCGCTACTCAAATGTCGGGAAGGTGTATACTAATCTGTTGCAGAATTCCGTAAGACAGAATTTTGTCTCAGATACAAATCTTACACATGCAATACAATTAACTCCAACATGGAAGAGGTCTTATTAACCTCTACTATTCTTATCACCAATATGGCGGTATTTCCTAATTAATTTGTTGCGGCCATAATGCCAGGATGTTAGTGTTGCACCCATTGGAAACCTGAATTTGGTGCCTGAACCTTTCTAATAGAAAAGTGTCAAAAGAAATGTATTGAATCATCCCCTATGTATTTTTTAGCATACATGAGGACCTCTCTTTGGGCTTATTTACACTTGCATTACCCTTTGAAGAATGATCAGCAATGGATCTCTTTTCAGAGGGTGTTTGTCAGGACATTATGTTGCATGTTTTAACCCCTAAAATCCCTCTCCACCATGCCAGAGCCACGTGTCTGAGGCAGTTGTGGCATGGCCCTATTCAATTGAATGGGTTGCATTCGGTGGATGGTATGACAGGGATGGGGTAAGGACATTTCTGCCCTGCATTGCACATGGTTGCAAGATGGTTGCGGCACTGCCCCAGTCACTTGAATGGCAGGTGGTACTGACACAGTATGCATTGTGCAGATCATTTTTGCCACACCTTGATGTAAAGCATGTGTATTCCCCTGTATGTTTGCCTTTGCAGCTCGATGGATAGTAAAAACACAGCTCAATTGCTTTTTTTTCTTTTCCATTATACTCTATATCAGGGAGTCTCCAAACAAATGTGGCCATGAAAAGATTTTATACAGCCCTCTGATGTAAGGGAGACTTTGATGGGGACTCTGATGTAACAAGGGAATCTAATGTAATAGGGGGTGCTCTTGTGATCTAGATGTAAAAGGGGATTCTGCTGGGACTCTCATGTAAGTGGGTGCTCTCATATAAGGGGGACTCCAATGTAAGGGGGACTTTGATAGAGACTTTGATGTAAAGGGAGACTCGAGTTTCAAGTAATATCACGCTGATTAAAAAAAAAAAAAAAAAACACTAAGTAAAACATTTGCATTCATTTAAACTTGATTTATTCATTTGGAAACCATTGCTCTATAATACAGTCTCTAGTGGTTGTCGCTGAGATAGTTTTTGCTGTGCATTGCACGTGGTTCCAGGGTGGTTGCGGCACTGCCCCTTTCATTTGAATGGATCACGTTCAGCAGGTGGTACTGCTCACTCACTAAATGCTTTAGAGGGAATACTTGTTCCATGATGCAAAGCATTGGGACTGCAGCATGTGTATACCCCTATACGACTACCTTTGCAGTTTTGTGAGGGCAGTAAAAACATGGCTCAATTGCCTCTTTACCTCTACCAACCACAATTGTAAACTAGGCTGATTTGGAAAAATAGTAAAGCACTGTGAATATACTGAGCATAACTTTGTGACCGTCTCATTTTCACTCTACAGGGATCCCAGACTACCCTGAGACCAGAACATCTGATCATCCAAATGTCTACAAAGAGATACAACTCTGGAAAAGATGGGAGCAACACAGGAGGAAGTCCTGTCCAGGTCTTGCAGTTGGATAATTAGCTATCCTGGAGCAGGTGGTCTCTGACCACTAAGGAAGGGTAGTCCCCTCACCTCTGGCTGGGCCAATTCTATCAGCTGTCCCAGAGATCCCTCTTAATGCTCTTGGTGGAAATGAAAGCCATGGCTGGGAGTCACTTGAAGGAACTTATTGATAGATTTTTACACAGACGTCTACTAAACCTTTTTACAGTATCAGGCCAAGGATGATCAATATGTACGTATTAAAGGGATGTACCTCATACTGTGACCTATAATGCTGAACATCCTCCTTCACCCAAAACAATGTGTCTTTGCAGCTTATTAAATTATTGCAGTTTATTATTTAATTTAGTGATTTATGTATTTGTTTCAGATTACTAATGTCTAGCTGGCTTCTGTACCTGCTTCTGGACCACCCATTTGCACTCTACTGCGGATGAGTGGCACTGAGATGTACTGGTACGTCGCTGCCTGCTTCCAGGTATAGGGGCGCGCATATGTGTACACCCCCCCCAGGCTGACCCCCACTGTAATTGTGTTTGTCAGCAAGTCCCAGCCAAGGTTTCATCCAATCACAGCCCAGAGCCTCTGTGTTGAAAATCAACACGGCTCTGTACAGAGGGAGTGATCTCTCTGTTTCTCATCCCTGCAAAGCAGAGAGAGCAGAAATCTGTTAGTAAAAGCAGCACAGTTTACACACATTACACATAGTTAAGCACACATTTAACCCTTTGATTACCCTAGATGTTAACCCTTTCCCAGCCAGTGTCTTTAGTACAATGACAGTTTATAGGATTTTCACTGATCACTGTATTAATGCCCCTGATGATGTCAGTGGCAGTCAGCTTTCCCCCAGAGTCAGTTAGTTCCAGATTACTCGCCGCACTATTGCATTATCATTACATGTCACTGATCACCGCCATTATTAGTATTAAAAAAAATTAATATATATATATATATATATATATATATATATACACACACACACCATAATTTGTGCACGCTATACCTTTCATGCAAACCAATCACTATACACTAGTTGTTGGAATTCTTTTTTCACCAAAAACATGTAGCAGAATACATATTTGGCCAGAATTAATGAAGAAATTTGATTTAAAATTTTTTTATTGGATATTTTTTATAGCAGACAGAAAAAATATTGTTTTTATTTCAAAATGTTTGGTCTTTTTTGTTTTTATCACAAAAAATAGAGCTTTCTTTTGGTGGTATTTGATCACCACTGACTTTTTAAAAAAATGTTTTAATATAAATGTAAATAGATCGAAAAATGAAAACAAAATAATATCTTTTACTATCTGCTATAAAACATATCCAATAATAAAATAAAAAAGTCAAATTTTACATTAATTCCTACAGGGCTCTGGGCTTTGATTGGACACAGCCAATCAGCAGGTCCCAGTTATGAATCACTGTACAATCACAGCAGGAGTCGGGAGGATGGGGAGGTACATCAATGTGCCTGTATAAGCTTCCCGTCCATGGTACATTGCAGGTGGACAGTCCTTAAGTGGTTATGGACCACACCAAAACACTTTTTATTGCTCTGTAGGCTTTCCTTTAGGCTAAGTGTCAAACGCAGGCATTTCATTTGCCTTTTTGAAGCCTCACAAATGCCTGTCAGCATTGCAGCATTGCAGTGGACAGTGTTGTTCTCATGGTTGCATTTGCATTCCTACATGCCAAAATGTATTCCTTGTGTAGCGTTCAGCTGGCTTTACCGCTCCCCAAATGCCTCCATTCATGTCAATATAAATGCACTATAAACACCACACAAATGCCTCTTTGATTTTTACAGCGTGTCTGAGATGTGTTTAGCCCCTTAAGGGTTTCAGAAGCCGGGAGGCGGGGCAGTGTTTAGGGTCACTTCATCACGGCGGTCACTTGATCGGGAAAGGTCCCGATCGAAAGAGGAGATCAGGACCTTTCCGTAAGTACCAGACATGTGTGCTGGGAGTGTGCAGGGCGCTTGCTCTCAAAACATGTTTTTTTTTTTGATAGAACACAAATGTGCGGGCCGCTCGGCGTCTAGGCCTAGATGCTGGGAGGCCTCACATTTGCGTTTGGCCGGTGCCAAGAGGCTAAAAAGCATTACTAGTCAAGATAATAGCAAAATAATCCATACCATAGAAAGCCAACACGGGAGGCATCTGGAAAGTGTTATTTAACACAATGCAAAAGCATCAGAAACATGCAAAACATGTCAATAATGCATCTTAATATGAAAGATGCATTAATGGGTATCCATTAGCCCAATTTCATGAAAAATAGAGCCATTAGTAGTGGATGTTTGTGGATTATTTTTGGAGAATAAGGATATTATTGAATGTCAATTGGGGCAGATCAAGCAGACTCTGGCTAGATCATTTCCACTTTCAATACTGAAATCAATTAAATACAGTAAGGATTTTTTATGGGTATTGGTAAGTATGCTGGTGAGTTTTTTCTTTGATGAAAAA